AGACCTACCCGTTTACTTTACAGAATGCATGCAGGTGGTTTAGGAAAAATGTACCTAAAAGTCCCCAACAATTATTCTTGAGACTAAGTCAATGCAGTAAAAAACCCACGCGATGCTCGTCGGTTTCTTAAACAAACAACTGAAACAACTACAGGATGAGGCTGAGTGTGAGGAATATAACACCCTCTAAGATCCACATAATAGTACTACATAATCGCTTTTATTAAATAAAAGATAGAGGTATACCAAGTAGTAGCAAAAAGATAAATGCGCTATCTAGCCAGTGGTAATATCATTTCTATCCACACATGTGTAATATCCTTTCTGACCAATCAGCTCACAGTATTTTCCCGCGCTGTCAAGCACTTGTGGTTTTCCGTCGTTTGTTCCTTTCGCAGTTTTCACGAGTCGAAGTTAAGTTTTAAATTTATTATAAAATGGACACAAGCTGGTTTGTGGAGATCAGAGATGAGGAACTGATCAAATTCTTAGAAGAACAAGAAAATCCGAATACAAAGAGGAAAACTATGTACGAAGTCGAGTTATTCAATAATTTCATTCAGACATCAAACGCTGGTTTGCTTAGTTCTCCAACATCTTTTCACAAGCTTTCACCACAACTTCTGAACTACCACCTTTGGCGTTGGAAAAAAAGATGGCTCCGACCATGAACCCACGAGTTTCAGAGGATTTCTTTCAAGCATCCAGAGATATCTTAACAAAGACAGAACTACCGCTTCACAATTTTTACTCGGACGCTGTGTTACATGTATATTTACAAACCTAATCCCTGTTTATCCTTACATCGAGTCTTACTGACTCTAAAAAAACTTTAGCCTCCAAAGCTACTTAATTTTTGTCGTGTTATTGTTGATGTTCAATTGTTGATCTTACTGCCACAAAGCGATAAACAACTTTAATCATGACTCAAGCTCTTTTATTTTCACAACTTTACCACAATACCGATTTGACTCTGCTCGGTTTTACTTAACCGCTGGTATTTCTTGTATTGTATTGGATTGGAAAACTGATTGCTGGTTACCTATTGCGTTGCAGTGTGGATATTGTTCAGTGTTCTATTTAATAAATCAGGCAACAGTTTTCCATGGGCAATACCCTATTTGTTTTAAAGAGGATCATGAAGAATTGTCATCTTTTTGTAAAATAAGCCATGGAAAATTTTTGACCATTTGTTTTCCTATAATAACATTAACCGTCTTTTAACGTCCAACCAGTCCTCTCACCTAATTCTAGAATTTGTTTAATAAGACTTGTGAAAAAAGCAACTTCTGACGAGAGGATGTTGAATTGATATCATTTAATCCTTTTCTACATAAACCAACAATGTAATCAACAAGGCTTTAAGACACAATGTACTCAGCTTCCCTACCCTAGCTAAGAGACACATGCAAAAAGACAGTTTTAATTATGTGCTGATTGAATATAAGCCTGCGAAAACAGCCGTTTCTCCTCGCTTCTCTCCTCAAGGGACATTTCCCTAGGAGAGAAGTCTGCGTCTTAGCGACAGAAGTAGGGAGCTTAAGCAACGATGACGGCGACGGCAACGAGAACGGAAAAAAAGCAAAGGTTTAGATTGGCAGCACAACAACAACTTTGCACGTACATCACTCTATTTTGTACAGTTATTTGCCGTCGCTGCACGAGTACAACGTGAAAGTGCCTAATTTCACATTAGGGAACTTAAGAACCACGACGACGGCTTGGTCGACGACGACCGGAAGTGAGTTACACTGTACTGCGCAAGCGCGACTAGTAAATTTCGTCGTCGTGGTGTCGTCGACGACGCCAAACAAAGTAGAATCACGTCGTCCTGCAATCCACAAGCTTCGGCAGGTATAAATCCACTGTTTTAAGCGATTTTTTTTCTTGTCCTCCTAAATCCAGGTATCGTTCCTTTTTTCTCCAAACAAGCGATGTTGATTGAAAATTCGACTAATGAATTGATTTTACTTTGAAGAATAGCAACAGCTGAGGAGGCCGAGCGAGCGAACTCGTAAGTGAATTGTGATAAATTTATTTGTACGTATTTAGGTAAGGCAAATCATATATCTCTAATATAGAGGAAATAAACTTTATATGGAAAACAGCTATCACATCAGAATGTCTCTTTTTCGAAATCTAAACTCTGACGGACACTCGGACTCGGCCATCTCATTCAAGTTGAAAGTTGAATAATTTCGTATGGAAAGTAGGTGTATTTCCACTCGAAAAGGTCAGACAGCACAAAAAATTTTTCATCGTCAATGAAATTAGACGTACGGCTTGAACAAATAAGATCTTGCGTTGTTTTGAAAGACGCCATTGCGAAAAACTTTGTTGCGAACGAACAGCACAGTTTTACATCTGTGTTTACATTCAGTGTCGTCGTCGTCGACCTACCGACCGACCGCATCTTAACTTTCCTTTTTCCCGCCGAAACCGACGTTCTCGTTCCAGTCTTTTCCCAGTCAACAGACGTCGTCGTCGTGAACTTCGTCGTGGTTCTTAAGTTCCCTATTGTGTCGAGGACGTGAACACAATACAACGACTTTCTTTTACTTTTCCTGAACTTTCATTACAGTCTTTTAGAATTCAACTCCAGAAAAAAATGCCATTATTTGATGAATTGAACGAGTTGGAATGAGTGCGATAAAGTTTGAAGTAGCGTGAATTCACTTTCGCGGTCGTTGTTGCCTAAGCTCCCTAATTCCATATTGATGACGTAAATCAATGTTTACATAATTAATCCGGTTTTCATGGGGTTCCAAATCCAGATTCTCTCGATTTTACGTTTCTCCTGGTCGTTTTTGGTAAAGTTTTGCGTTCATCTGCGAACGAGCTCCAGCGAAAGTCAAATGCATGCTTCTTCTAGAGAAGAATATATTCAACGAATATTGATCGTTTTAATTTGTTATAGATTCATCGCCTTTATATTTGACCTGTCTCGCCTTTTGTCTTTTGTCTGTTCATTAATTGTAAACAATAGCTAAAACAATATAACTGCTACATCGACCAATCACAGCTTCTGACCAGATTCCGGACAGATTTAGAATCACCATTATGGAATTTTTTTCGCTGAGGCGCAGACGTTTTTTCTGGGGAAACGTCCTAAGCGGCCAGGAGCGAGGAGAAACGGCTGTTTTCACAGTAAGGCTTATTGAATATGTGGTTGCTATGAAATGCCATGCCTAGGTCCCAAATGATTAAGACAAAAATCTAAACCTGCGTTAGAAAATTAGCCTCATTTTCTTCACGTTCTCTTCTCTAAATGCAATTTAGTCCAATTTAGCTAAAAAGGTCGTCATTCATGGCAGCCATGCCAATTCAACCCTGAAGGACATAGTTTAAAGTCAACAACATAACATCCCGTGTATTAGCACTGTGGAATTCAAGTCAAGTCATTGACAAAAACTGTGAAAAGCAACAGCCCCAGGACATTATCCAGGGAACATCGCAAAACACTGGCATCACCAAGTAACTCTTGAACCATTCGATGACAAAGGATGACAAGTCACTTTCAAGTAGATTTTTTAACAGTATGTAGGTCCTTTAACTTTGAAGATAACTATATACTGCACGGGTTCAGCGCCGTAGCTAGTATGAGGCCAATTTTACATAAGCGATCATAGGATATTTTTAACGCATCATGATATTACAAAGAATTCAGCAATTCAGTCAATATACTATGAAAAAATTACCATATCATCGATCTCAAGGGGCCACGTACGTTAACTCAAATTTTTTTTGAACAAATACGGATCAAAACCATTGGCGAGGTTAACGGTCACCCAGAGTATGTAGCTTGTTTCTGATTATTGCTTTTTAAATTCCACTTAAATTAACTCGAAAAAAAGTTACCGAAAGGCCCAGAAAACGCTGCCAATCGCATTTCCGAGAGACTAAAGTTCAAAATTTCTCGGGGGGGGGGGCATGCCCCCGAACCCCCCTAGCAACTCCCCCCTGCCTCGGTTGGCCGTTTGGTCTGACTACGGCACTGGGGTTGTCAAAACGTCAGTCACTGTCAAAAACAGTCCTTTTCAGGACCACACTCACTCGACGATGATCTTCCACCTACTTATGAAATGACTCCTGCATTCAAACCATTCACAGTACGTGTGCTTTCCTCATATCCAAGAGAACTACAGCTGAGGTTGTCTGTTACGGTCTGTTGCGCGAAGTATGCAATAGTAAAATCTCTGTCAAGTTCCTCTTTTGCTGCCACTGTGCTTAACGGAGTCGCCTATATAGTCCACCAAAGAAACACGAGTTGATTTAAAACGATGAGGATAGGACGATTGTCATATCGCTTCTCGTCGTCACCTTTTTCGGTGGAGATTTACTTCTGATCACCTGATCTTCAGTATGGTGCCTCAGCTTATTCATTGTTCTGCTGTAGCGGTCATTTCTGGTTGGTCCTGAGATACCAGAATGCCACTGTGTAAATCTCCTGGACCGGGTTGTTCGAAGCTGGGTTAAGTAACCCGGGGTTAGTGGGAAATTTGAACTCAGATATGAGAGCTTAAAAAACAAATTCAGTTTAATTCTCTTTGCCTACAGTTTGATGATTTGATACTCTAAAAGGAATATAGAAAATTATCTTAGAGAGTGCTTTTGAGCAAACGAAAAAGAAGCCCTCGATAATGTTTAACCCTGGGTTGGAGCTAACCGGCGTTCGGACAACCTGAAGGTAATTACATCTGAGAATGTTACATAAGGAACTGAGATATATAATGACACTTTTAGTGTAGCAAAAGCCAAGGTTTAGTAAATACAGTACTACACAGGGCAGCAAAGGAAACAGTGGCTCATTGTATTTATGAAGCATAAACTTGAAAAGGAAACTAACAAATTAACCACAATTATGGACATAGGCATGGTCCTCCCACTGGACGACTGTGCTTTTTTTATATCATCCAGGCTATCGGCAAAGTTGATTAAAGTTTATTGTTCTCCATATTTATACAGACCTCATCGACAGGCATATTTGTAACTGTATAGCATCAACAAGATTCAGTAGAAGGCGTCAGCTCCACAGTCAATACCCTTTGATGGTTATCACAAGTTGGCGATATGTTGGCTGTTAACGCGCTTACAGGAGACTTAGGAACGGTCAGCGGTAAATTGGCAGCCAACGACTCTTTCAGAGACTCACAGGTCACTGATTTATTATCAGTCAGAGAATTTCCACGACACACATGGATCACTGGAATTTCCAAAACTGGTAATGAGACTTCAGGAGACTTTTGGGTCAATGGCTTATCAAGACCCAAGGAGCTGGGCTGCTCAGAAGACTCGCCAGTGAGTGGTATATTTGAAGCCAAACGACTTTTACTAGACTCGCAAGTCGGAACAGTGTCAACTGCCAATGAACGTTCACTTGAATCAAGGGCCCTCTGTTTATTGGCAGGCAACCCAATTTCGCGGGAGTCGAAATTCTGAGGTATATCAGCAGGCAAACATTGAATCGAATGAGTCGATGTATAGTGACGTTCACTGCACTTTGGCTGTTCCCTTTGTGCACGTACACCTTCAATAACAGCTTTCCTGTTGCGGTCCTTCCTACTCGGTCCTCTACAAAGTATTCGGTAGAACTCCTTTCGATAATTCTCTGAGAATATCACATAGAAAATTGGGTTAATGGCACTGTTAGCGTAAGCAAGCCACGGTGCGATGAACAGCAGTTCAATAGGAAGCGACCGATACATTGGCCTGTTGTACAGACGAAGCATCTGAAAAGTTTGAAAAGGCAGCCAAGACAGGGCGAAGACAATAACGACAGTTATCAACATAGCTGCCGCACGCCTGCTGGACGACTGTGCTTTTTTGTTTGAGATCATATTTTTACGGCCAGGAGGTTGTCTGCTACAGAGACGTATTACTGCTGCACTGCAGAAGATGGCGATGATTATTAGTGGAACGATTAGCCCACCTATAAAGAAAACTAGGATGTAAATCTTCCACCACATGGGCGCCCAGAAGTCTGCGCAACTCACAAAATCCGTCCCTTCAAAATGCACAGTTTTAGATGCCACCATAACTGGAAGTGAGAAAGCCAGTGCTCCCAACCAGACCATAGCGATCGCAAAACGTACAACGTTCTTAGTCATAACTTTCTTCATTGGAAACAGGATAGCAAAACTTCGATCGAGAGAAATTGCCACTAAACTAAAGATTGAAGCTATTTGAGATACCACTTGGGCAGAGCTAAAAAACTTGCATAACACGGTGCCCATGAAGGTTCCAAACCATTTAAAACCGACGTAGAAAAATTTAAGAATGTACGGTATGGTTATCGCCATCAACAGATCAGCCACGGCCATGTTAGCGATGAGCGTGTTGGTGGTGCTCCGCATGTGGTTTACCGTAAACACGATGTAAATTACCAAAATATTACCGATCAGCGCAAGGATAGAAATGGATACTGCTAATATGGTGAATCCGATTTGAATATTAAAAGGTATGAGATAAGAACTTACACTGCCAGGTTCCGTGGCGTTGTCGGTTCTGTTAGGAAGCACCGACACTGCGAAGAAAAATGAGAATTAGTAACGATCCTCAAAGAAATATTACAATATATCTAAGGTCATCAATAACAACAACAACAATCTTAATTTGCACTTACTCTTGCTCAAAAAAAAAAACTTGAGCCAAAGAAAATATTGAACGTAGAATTAGAGTACTGGCTACATGGAATAACCACATTGGGCTTAGAGGAGCCAGGGAGCCAGTTGACATCAGCATTAAATAGAAATGAATTACAGGTCAGCAAGATACTGAGACACAAATGCACACATAAAAGGAGAAGAAAAACAAAGGGAGGAGGAAAAACGTTATCACTATGCTGTTAAGGAAGTCCTAAAGTATTTAAATTTATGTATTTATACTACTACATGAGAAATTTCTGCAATTTGATTGGCGTAGACCAGTAGTATTTCAGATTAATTTGAAATACCTTCATGTGAAAATTACAAACTTTTTGTGGGTAGTAGTATAAACAAATAATAGCGTGATTTGTACGTGATGTTTGGCATAAATACCACTCGTGATATTTCAAAATTGTCTCAAATTTACGTATAACATTTTGAAATATCACTCGACGGTATTTATGCCAAATATCACTACAAATCATGCTATTACCTAAACAAATACAAAAAATTCTATAAGACGAGCACACAATAGCTATGACAACTAATCACAAAACTACAAAAATTTAACAAACGACTCGTTTACAGATAATTTGGGAAACAAAACAAATGCTTATAAGAATACATGTAACTAATAATCTATGACACTCGCTTTTTATTAAACCCTTGAATTTTGAAAGAGAGAAGGTTTTAAAATTTTCATTTATTGACTTCCAAATTTTGGAGCCCTTGATTAAATGTTGAAAAGTATTCCTTAATTTGTTCGTACTTTAGGTAAAGTATAGAACATATCCGAGGCACCTCTTGTATTGTAGTCATTTCTTTTATTGGTTAATGTGTGAAGAAAGTATCAAACACTGATGGTAGACGGCTATTGCGAAATTTCTACATTAAGACTGCCGTATTAAGAAAGGCAAGATCTGGCAACTTGACTGGCAGCAATTCATAATTGATTTTTATCCGCTAGGATGCGAATAGTTTCATCTAATGGTGGGTTTCTACTGTCGCATAATTTTTACGTGGGCAAGTAAAATAGAGGCAATGTATGAAAGGCCGTGCGCAGTGGCGAATCCAGGGGAGGGGCCCGGGGGGACCGACCCCCCGCACACCCACCCCCACTTACTTCTAGACCAAACTGAGGCCCGAAAGGCAGAGAAAAAAAAATTTAAGACCGCCCCCCCTTATCTTATGGTCTGGATGACCAACCCCACCCCCCCCCCCTTATCTGAAGGTCTGGATCCTGGATCCGCCACTGGCCTGTACCTGCGTAGTTCGTGCAAGTTGACCGAGGTTGAGCTTTGTCTTTTACGCGTGACCTTTCGTACATTAGAAGTTTTTAAGCTTCACGTATACGGCAATAGGCAGACGTCAGATTCAAGTTGAGCATTTCTCAGAATAGAAAAGGAGCAGATAAAAACTGCTCAAACACACTTCTTGAAAATAAAAAGTTGCGTGAAGCTACTAATTTATGAGTGGAAATAATGAACAGTAAACGACAAGTAAATGAAAAGAAACTTATTAGTCACGTGGTACAAATTCGCGTTTTCCGTTTGACCTAAACGTGACATGAAGCTTAACCTCTCTCAGTATTACCTCAATGCGCCCGGCTTAAAAAATTACTCGACAGTGGAAATCCACCTTAACGTTGCATTTGTGAAAAGCACTGAGACATCATACGAAATAAGACAATTATTTTCATTGATTTCGAATTGTTTAATCTCGATGATAATACGATGAAATGTGTTCATCCACATCGAAATCCCTGCACAGTAACCGTGCAGTTTTTTTTGTGATTTTCCCCCTGCCTTTTTCTGATAGGTATTTTTACGTAGCAACGCCATCGTTAACAACACATAGGTAACGGGAAGAGATGTTTTGACGAATTTCACTGAAGATTTCGTTGATTCGTTAAAGTGATGTTCTTCTTTGATTTGTTACGCAGTTTTTCCGCGATGAGATTTGTGGCAACACTCTTTGTGTTTCGTTTTGTCGATCTTAGCGAATGCAGAGGTTAGATCAAGAACAACAACGATAACTTTATTTAAAGAGGGAAGCGCAATAACCTATTACAGTTTTCTAACCTACGGCCCTCAAAAAATAAGTAAATAGATAAATAAATTTAGAAGACAAAAAACAAATAAATTTATAAATATATATATATACACAAAAGAGACAATATTTAAAGTAGAATAGGCTATAAACACGTAATGAATAATATATAAATCGACGAAGGGGGGCAAAATATGATGAGAACTTTGGCAAAGCCGAAGTAAATCGATGACTCCATCATAGTTAATTTGTTTAGAAGGTTTAGAGCTTAACTTTTCAAGTCGCCCGAATAATTCAAGCACGTTACTTCGTTTTAAACCTTGCTGTTTCCTTAAATTCAGGTTACACAGAGGGAAACCCGCATTGAATTGGTTCTTTCCCAGCCGATGGATCAAAGACTGGTTTCAGTTCGTTAAAGCGATCAGCCTTTGAACCCGAGAGTGGTTGCATGCTAACTTGCCTGTTTATTTCCATCCGGCGACCGAAATAATGCAAAATATGCTTTGAATTACGCATTTAAGAATCAAATGGTACAATGAAAAAGTAGGAACCATAAATTCAAAGAAGACAGACGGCAAATTCTTGTTGAATGCTGGAAGGCATTCCCGGCTGGTCACCCAACCAGTTTCTAACGTAGTTATGTGCCTCACCGACTTTCTACAATTGGAAATTTTGACGAGGTTTGAAACACCTGTAAAATTTCAACTGTGAAAAGCCTTACTGCCTTGTGAATAAAGCGACTGACAAAGCCGCTTGAGAAAAACATATCAAGCAAAGGCATTTTTCAAAAAGGTAAAAGAGTTACCTCGGCTGTCCGTTATGTTCATTTTCCTTTTCCTCTCAGAATCTGTCTTTTGACCACGAATTTGAGGGGTCGAGGGGCCTGTTAATGGAAAGTTCTTCTGCCTTTTTTGGGCTATATCCTTTAGTACTTTAATCTACATATTGATTCATTTGAACTTTTATAATACAGAGTAACACCTGCAACTTACACAGTTCTTATTTTGTTTATTGATGTTTCTCCGGAAGCTATAATTATTTGTCAAATTCAAGTTAATCTTTTGCTCGTCCCATTTCTTAACATGTTATCGTCAATACCAGGTGTTCTTAGTGTCTATTCTAGCCTTGTTTTAAATCATATTTTTACATTCCTGTCGATACTAAAAGGCATGCTAAGGAAACCTTCACTTCGCCTTTTGTTGGCACATTTCGAAAAACATGAAAATTTTAATACCCTCCAGGAAATAGCCCCCATCAAATTGTCTTTATAGAACGCCGTTACTTGCGTCTGTCATTTCAAAAAGGCGAAAGTCACGTGACGTTTAAAAGCGAGAGTAGTAATTGAGGTCTTTAGTTTCGAAGTGAAGAAATACGTGAGTGAAATAGTATATTTCTTTCAGACGTTTCCGCATACCACTCAGTATGCAGAATTCCCGTTCCCTCAAAAACTAAATACTAAACATTATTTTTACGACGTAACACAGTCGAGAATAGCGATATTAAAATCCATTTTGAAAATACCCTAACAATCGAAGATTAGCCATGTTTGTTGTTTAGCCTGTTCCAGCCGTTCAGAGTGTGGGTACAGCGCAAAAAGATGTGAGCAGGAAAATCAGTGGGGGAGTGGGGTAGGGTTGAGAGCCTATCTCCCTCTCTTCCTCCTTATTTTTTTTCCTGCTCTCTTCCTTCGCGCCCCACTCCACTATCTGAACACCTTGAAGAGGCTATTTACTATTATGCAAAAGCGTTTTAGAAAAGATCAGCCTTTAACATAATAATTTACTCTTCCTGTGTATTGTCAAACGCAAACGTTATTATGGCTATTATGGACAACCATTAACAAAGTACGTTAACGCTTTATCATTAAAAGTTGATTTCCACCGACGCGTTTTTGGCTGCGCACGTTAACGCACGTAAATTTTAATCACGTAAATAGAATAAAGCCAAGATACAAAGTGCCGAGCTTAAACAAGAAGTTAAGCGAGGTTCAACTTTTACGCTTACGAGCGACCTCTCATGCATTGCCTCTAAGATTTGTGAACATAAATTTTACGCACGTACGCACGTAAAAGTTACGCGACACTGGAAATCAGCCCTGTTGTCACTTTTTTCTGAATTGTTGTATTACCACGCTTTCGCCATGAAGGTAAAAAAAGGGATCAATTTTAGTTACACTTTATTGTCTTTTAGTTTATAGATACTGGACTTTTTAAAAAAGAAAAAAAACGCATTTTCCCTTAAACTGCGCTATACAGCATAATCATGCACCGTTTGCCACCTTATTTTTCCATGACAAAAGACAATACTTCGTTTAATTTATTTATACTTTCACATAGACCATAATGTACCTTGTCCCCCCCCCCACCCCCGCCCCTATAATTTTGCATAACCATTGTTTTCAATTCTCCTGCGTATTGCAGTCGTCCCCAAAAAAGTCGAAAACAATGGTTATACAAAGTTTTTTTTGGGCGGGGGTGGGGGGGGGGGTTGTAAACAAGATGCATTGTGGTCTATGTGAAAATAGTGAATTCCATTCTTTCCTTGTGTTAAATATGCGTACATTACTAAGGCTTCAAACCATTTATCGTTTTATTGGCATCAAATATAAATGCTTGAGTCAGTCTTGTTTTTCAATATCTCTTATTTGTTGGGGGCTGTTATCCATAACAGTGCGATTAGAGGGTGCTTCAAGTCAGTCAGTCGCATAGCCAAATGAAAACTGAAACAACCAATGTTGCTTAGACAATAAGATTTTTAAATCTACTCAGTCCATGTTAACCAATCCAAATAAGCCCAGCCAAGCCCAGCTTCGGTTTGTACGAAAAACAGTCAACAAAAATGAATCAATTTTTTCTTAGACATTTTACATCCTGTTTTACAATCTCCATAAAAAACACACACAGCAACAGCAAGAACAGTGCAGTTACTCGAGTCTCATAATACGAAAAATCGAGCTACAGACAGATGTTATAAGAAACTTGAGCTTCCATCATATATCACGTTAGTGGGTGCCTCTGTTATTGACCCAATTTCGTGTCATAAAATCCAAAGGTAACCTGAGAATTGATAATTCTATTGGTCAAATACGTCACACTGTCCTATTACCTTAACTATATCAAAGCTCAAGTTTAACTTCCCCATTGATAGACACCAAAGTCTTTAGCTTCTATAACAACCGGTGTCAATAATTCTCATAGAAGATAAAATTGTCACGGAAAAGTATGAATTTAAAAAATAATAAGGTAAATGATAAGGTATTTATTGCTCACTGGATAAATAGACATATCTAATTTTACAGGCTAGATAAAAAGATCAGAAATTGAAAAATAGAACGAAAGATTGAAGTCAATTCATAAAAGTTTTGGCTTTTTTTAAATTACTCATTGGCTCGTTTGTAGATATCGATTTTCGCTGGTTATCAAACTTAGTTTAAAAACTAGGATAGATCTTTGTAGATATTGGGGAGGCCAATTTAATTTACGCGAGAACTAGTAAGATTGTATTTTTCATTTACCATATATTCGTCTGTAAATTTTATTGGAAAAATATATATTATGCTGAAACAAGAACCTGGAATATTCTACCTCAGATTCCCCGGCCAACTGTTGATGCGCCAACGTCAGTTTGAAATAAAAAACTGTGCTGTTGGTCTTTACTTGATCTAAAAAGCGCGCACTAATAATGGAAAAGACCCACCCGTTTACTTTAAATAATGCATGCAGGTGGTGTAGGAAAAAAATGTACCTAAAAGTCCCCGACAATTATTCTTGAGACTAAGTCAATGCAGTAAAAAACCCACGCGATGCTCTCGGTTTCTTAAACAAACACAGAAACAACTACAGGATGAGGCTGATTGTAAGGCAGATAACACCCTCTAAGATCCACATAATAGTACTACATAATCGTTTTTATTAAAAAGAAGATAACGGTTCTACTAAGTGGTAGCAAAAAGATAAATGCGCTATCCCGCCAGTGGTGATATCATTTCTATCTACACATGTGTAATATCCTTTTTGACCAATCAGCTCACAGTATTTTCCCGCGCTGTCAAGCACTTGTGGTTTTCCGTCGTTTGTTCCTTTCGCAGTTTTCAAGAGTCGAAGTTAAGTTTTAAATTAATTATAAAATGGAGACAGGCTGGTTTGTGGAGATCAGAGATGAGGAACTGATCAAATTCGTAGAAGAACAAGAAAATCCGAATACAAAGAGGAAAACATTTTACGACGTCGAGTTATTCAATAATTTCATTCAGACATCAAACGCTGGCTTGCAGTTAGTTCTCCAACATCTCTTCACGAGCTTTCACCACAACTTCTGAACGACCACCTTTGGAGTTGGAAAAAAAGATGGCTCCGACCATGAACCCACGAGTTTCAGAGGATTTCTTTCAAGCATGCACAGATATCTTAACAAAAGCAGAACTACCGCCTCACAATTTTTACTCGGACGCTGTGCTTAAAGCTTAGGTAGAATGGTATGTTACTTGTTAATGTTAGCCAATTTTCTAACGATATTCTTGTCCTACGTTTATACCAAGGGTCTACCTGTTTATTATACATTTCTATTTACAAAGATTTAGCCCTTCAGCGGCGATTTAACAGCACACATATTTTTCATTGAAAGTGGGAAAGGACTGGCCGAAGCTTCATTTTAAAGATGGCGTTTGTAACAAGGCAAGCCATCATTGAAAACAAGATTGAGCCCTGTTCTTCAATTCTATATCACCCCAAAATTTATTTCAAAGCTGGCCCAGTTGACCCGGTGGACTCTGAACTTGCGTTCTATTTGAGCCCCGTTCTTTTTTTAGAGAGGGTATATTATTTTTCGTTAGCTTAAAGTGTGGTTAGAATGAACAAATGTTGAATCATAAACGGCCTAAAAAAGGCAAAGAAGACAACAGAACATAGCTTGCTGCTTTAATGTTTATTTACTTATTTCAAATCCAACCTTTTTGATAGTATGTATGTTTTAAAGCAATAATTTAAAATATTAAATCAAGTAACAGAGGAGCCAAATCGTATTTACTAAATTCTTGAATGCCAGTACTTAACTTGCCTTTTTTTTCCCTGTGAACGGAAAAAAAAAATATTTTCGTAGTTCGTGTTTTTTGGGGTTTGAAATAATAAGACAAAGCTAATGCCACTTTCGTGGCAGGCAGCAAGTGCACACAAACCCTGCGAACAAACTCCCCATATGGGGTATGAGAAGTCACAAGGCACTCAAAACTGAGACGCCAGAGCAAGTGTGAAGGGCTGAATGGGGTCGCTCGCTCGCTCGCGCGTTGTCTTGCGGCTTGCTTCACTTGCAACTCGAACTGGGGAAGAGCTTGCTCGCTGGCTGGTGCATATAACTGGCCATGGATGTGCATCTATAAAAAAAAATTGGTTATTTCTACACTCCACTTTCTTCGTAGAATCTAGGTTTGATTTCCGCCACAGTCGTGGGTCCGGTCTCTGGGAGCGCGGGTTCATTTGCCGAAGAGTGGCTAGTGATCGAGCCCACGTACATCATGTCCTCCCCGCCGCTCCTCACCCCCCGCCCCTAGAAAATAACAGGAGGGGGCGTCCCTCCCAGTTTCCTATGGAAACTCTCCAGGGGAAAATCCGCCCTAATGTCAGGAGTTTGGGCGCTTGTCTTTTTTTAATGCAGCGCAAAGCAGCGTTACAGACTTCGTTGTGAGAGACAGTTTATGAAAAGTTAAGCGCTCTGGAAAATTGTTCTTTCAAGTGACAATAGGAATCTGACATTACTGGTGTCGCGATTCTTTGTGTGTCTTGGTCAATAAAAGATGTTACAAAGCTTATCAAGTTCTCATGCCTTGGGGTCAAAATATTGCGGCACGATATCAGGGTGACTCAGGTCCTTGTCTTCTATAATTCGCTTTCTCTCTAAGCTTTTGAAGCGGAATGCTTACAGCCAATGAGCTGGCACGTGACAGACGAGTTGATCTGGTAGTGGTACTTCGGCTTATGATTGTCCTTCTGTAGCGGTCCTTCCTGGTTGGACCTCGACCCAGAATGCGGTAAAACTCCTGACGATAATTCTCAGAGAATATCACATAAAGGATTGGGTTAATAGCACTGTTAGCGTAACCAAACCAAGGTGTGGTGTATCGTAACTCAATCGGAAGTGAATAAAATAGTGGCTTGTTGAATCCACGAAGCATCTCCAAAGTTTGAAAAGGCAGCCAAGACAAAGCAAAGACAATAACTACAGTTATCAACATAGCTGTCGCACGCCTGCTGGACGACTGTGCTTTTTGGTTTGAGACCAAATTCTTATGGCCAGGAAGTTGTCTGTTCCACAG